AAAGATCTCGATGTCCCCAACAACCCAGATAGTGTGGCTGCTGACCTTGTGCCACACATCCTGGAGACTGAAGTCAAGTGGGCCTTAGAAAGCATGGCTAAGAACAAGGCCAGTGGAGGTGATGGCATTCCAGTTGAACTATTTAAAACCTTAAAAGATGACGCTGTTAAGGAGCTACACTCAATATACCAGCAAGTTTGGAAAACTCAGCAATGGCCAGAGGATTGGAAATGATCAGTCTACATCCCAGTTCCAAAGAAGGGCAGTGCCAAAGAATGCTCCAACTACCGTACGATTGCACTCATTTCACACGCTAGCAAGGTTATGCTCAAAATCCTCCAAGGTAGGCTTTAACAGTATGTGGACCAAGAACCCCCAGAAGTAGAAACTGGATTTCAAAGGGGCAGAGGAACTAGAGACCAAATTGCTAACACACGCTGGATTATGGAGAAAGCCAGAGAGTTCCAGAAAAACATCTACTTCCGCTTCATTGGCTATGCAAAAGCCTTTGACTGTGTGGACCACAGCAAACTATGGCAAGTTCTTAAAGAAATGGGAGTGCCTGACCACCTTATCTATCTCCTGAGAAATCTATATGTGGTAGAGGAAGCAACAGTTAGAACTGGATATGGAAAAACTGATGGTTCAAAATTGAGAAAGGACTACAACAAGGCTATATATTGTCTCCCTGCTTATTTAACTTATATGCAGAATACATCATGCGAAAGGCAGGACTGGAGGAATCCCAAGCCGGATTTAAGATTGCTGGAAGAAATATCAACAACCTCCGATATGCAGATGATGCTACTCTGATGGCAGAAAGTAAGGAGGAATTAAAGAACCTTGTAATGAGGGTGAAAGAGGATAGTGCAAAAATGCTCTAAAGCTCAACATCAAAAAAACTAAGATCATGGCCACTAGTCCCATCCCTCCTGGCAAATAGAAGGGGAAGATATGGAGGCAGTGACAGATTTTACTTTCTTGGGCTCTATGATCACTGCAGATGGTGACAGCAGCCACAAAATTAAAAGACACATGCTTCTTGGGAGGAAAACGATGACAAACCTAGATAGCATCTTAAAAAGCAGAGACATCACCTTGCTGACAAAGGTCTGCATAGTCAAAGCTATAGTTTTCTAGTAGCAATGTATGGAAGTGAGAGCTAGATCATAAAGAAGGTTGATCGTCGAAGAATTGATGCTTTGGGATTGTGGTACTGGAGGAGACTCTTGAGAGTCCCCTGGACTGCAAAGAGAACAAACCTATCCATTTTGAAGGAAATCAACTCTGAGTGCTCCCTGGAAGGACAGATCCTAAAGCTGAGGCTCTAATTCTTTGGCCATCTCATGAGAAGAGAAGACTCCTTGGAAAAGACCCTCATGTTGGGAAAGAGTGAAGGCAAGAGGAAAAGGAGTGACAGAGGATGAGATGGACGGACAGTGTTCATCAAAGCTACCAATGTGAATTTGACCCAACTCCGGGAGGCAGCGGAAGACAGGAAGGCCTGGCGTGCTCTGGTCCACGGGGTCACGAAGAGTTGGACACTATTTAAAGACTAAACAACAACGTGTAGTTAGTAAAGTTACAATCTGTCAGATTTTGGAAATGTCCCCACTTCTCCCCATTATGCAGGCAATGGCGAATGGGAAAGAGAAGCCCTGCTACTTTGTGCCAAAGACTTGTTTAGTCCATGATTTTGTTTACACTGGCCAAACTGTTGTCTATGGGAAACTTGCAAATGAGCTAGCAGCTACCTTTTCATGACCCCCCCCCCGAAACTAACTGTGTTGAGAGATATACCACATTCGTTATATTTGGCATTAATTGATAGCTTTATACTCTTTTAATTTTCCAGTCCCCAGTTTGTCCATCCATGAGGGTTGAATCTTGTGGTAATCAATCCCACTAAATTTAACTGTTTGCCACTGTCCTACTTCTGCATCCACAGCCAGAAACAGAATTTAGAGGTAGCCCAAAATTGGAAAAAAGAAACTGATTTACTAATATGAGCATATGAGTGTCAAAACGTAAGTGGTTTCACCTCCAGCTATACAGTTGAGATTGTTTTGTTTGGTGACTATTCTTCAGGACTAATGGAGAGGATTTCTTTGAAGTTTGATTTCTGAAAACATGGAAAGATGCCTTAATGTGCTTTCAGCTTTGTAACATTGTCTTTTCACCTCATTTTCTTTTTTAGAATTGCTAGCAAACTGTTCCATGGATGCATTTATAATTAAATCAAGAAATGTTGGACAAGTTTATCATAGACATCATGCACCACATACTGTATTGGTTTCAGTGGTGTCAGCCGGGGTGGTTTTCTCAGTGCAACCATGACAGCAAGGTCTGCATAAAATACAAGGTTGCTGCCATAAAATGTTTTGCTGGATGTGGGACAGACAATAATTGACCAGTTAAAATAGGGGTCTCCAAACTTTTCAGCATGAGGGCCACATCATATATTTTACACATTTTTGACTGCTGAAGGAATATACATGTGCATGGGCTGAATGAAATGGACTGGAGCCTGCAGACTTGAGCCTGTGGTGTTTGCCAGGCCAGATAAAAAGGCAAGGTTGGCCAGATGTGGCCCGTGAGCCATAGTTTGGAGATCCCTGAGTTAAAAGAACAGTGAGATATAAGACAGTTCAGAAGGAAGTCCTGTGTCTGCTGAGATGTGTGAACAGTCCTTTCTTGTCTTCTGAGGTAAACTGTTGTGAAGCTCACACATTAAAACCACATTTCTTTTATTTACGCTTCTTGGGTGAGTACTGTATGTTTTCCTTTAAGTTTGATAACAATTTCAGATGAGCGTATCTTTTTACCTTTCCATGTTCACTGAATATTACCATAGATGCATACAAATCAGTTCCACTTCTGACCCTCTATTATTTTTTAAACTTTCTCTTGTGTCTTTTTCCTTAGGACAATGCATTATGGTAAAAGTGGAAGAGAAACACAGTGCCTATTGCTTAAGTTATTGGGATAACTACTGTTTTTTTAAAAAAGGATTTATAGTTATATATGTTTTCTATTTATTTTTTATTTTGTTTTATGATGCTCATAAGACATGTTGCACACTACTCTGCAGTGGAAATGTGGGGTACAAATTGTATATGGTAATTAACAAAATATGTGCTAAAGTGAAGACAGCTGTCCAAAGCGTTCCTGCTCTTGGGCCCCTTCATTCCTGTAAAGAGACTGTGTTGGGTGAACTGGGCTCAAGTAAACAGTAATACTGTATCTCTCCAGCGAAGGGATGTGCGATAGTGCAGTCTGGACAATTTTAAGATGCCCACGGGTGCGATTCGCGAAACAATGTAGTAACTCGCCTATTTCCTATGTGTTAACCCGATCCTCAGGAAGGGCATTCTCAAGTAGCTTGTAAGACCGAAACCGGGGAACGGCGACTTTACTCAAGAGTTAGCCTCTGTCCTCCACGATGTCGCTTCCCCACGGTGTCCCCAAGTTTAGGTGCTGCCATTTTCTCTCTAAACTTATCCCCCTTACTCTTCATGCCGTGTTTGGCTCTGTCCAAGACTTTCTTCTTCCTGGCTGCTGCTTTCTCACATCACCTCCTACCTTGCGCGCCGAGCGCTAGCTTTCTTGGACACGAGCGACTTCTCCCTCGTCTGAAGAGGCTTGCCTTTGTTTACCTCCTGCGCGGGTCGTCGACTGTGGAAGAGAAAAGCAGGAGGCAGCAAGTGGCGAGGCGGCAATCGTCTCCCACTCCCCCCGCCCCGCCCGCCGATACATCGCCTCATCCGCCTTGCAACCTTTCCTCTCACGCGCGATTTTCAGGGGGTTCTCCATCCTCCCTTCTCGGTTTCTTTCCCTCCCCTTCTCTCTCTCTTTGAGGTGGCACAAGAACGACAAATGCCCAGCAAAGAGCTAGCGGGGGCAGCCGCCACCAAGCCGCGCGGTGCAGCTTGAAGGAAGCAGCAACACCGGCGGCAGCAAAAAAGAAAAGGCGGGACTGCCGAAGAGACCCTTCCAGCGGCGGTGCTTCCCCCTCACCCACCCGCCACCCGCCGCCTCCAGCTCCTCGTCCCCTCCCGAAGGCGGCTCGCCGGTGGTGTTCTTCGCGCTCTCCTCACCCACGGCGCCCGCGCGCTCGTGGCCCTCCTCAATCCCACCGGGCTGCTTGCTGTCGCTCTTCCCTCACAGCAGGCGCTCGGCTGGCCGAAGGCGGCGGCGGGGAGGGAGTCTCCCGTAGAATGAGGAGCTCGGCTGGGAGCAGGAGAGAGAGGAGCTGCTCGGAGCCAAAGCCCAGCCTAGGAGCGGTAAGTTCAGGAGCCCGGGCGGCACCCCTCTCCCCTCCCGCCTGCATTCCTCTCAGGGTCGGACCGAGCGGCTGAGAATACTCGCGCCCCTTCCTCTCTGTAACTCCGTCCCCCCGCCTTCCCCCCCTTTCCCCCTGTTTTCTTGCGCGGCTGAACGGCGGGAAGAGGGGGCCTCTCCGAAACGGAGTTGCCTCTCCTTCTCCCACCGCTTTGTGCTGCTTGGAAGCGCCACTCGTGAAGGCGCAAAGGAGGCGCACCGACCCACGGTGACCAGTGCGCGAGGATGACCCTCCGGGTGGACCGAGCGAAGTTTCCGAAATGTAAAGGGCGCATTTTGGAGTTGGTGCTGCTCGAGGCGCTTCGGGTCGGTCGTTTGGAGAGTGTCGGGAAGTCGAGCGGGAGCTGTGGCTCGGGGATCTTCTGATGTCAGCGACATTCCTACTAAAACGGACAGGTGCGCTCCCCCGTGCTTTCCCTGCCCGAAGCAGCAGTGCAGCCTACCAAGCTGGATGCCGCGCGTCTTCCTTGAGCCTTTGCAGTTGGCTGAAGGTTCCTGCTCTTTAGTTCTCTACGGAACAACTCCTTTGATCAAATGGTTCTGCTTATCGGGTTTTCTTTACTTCCTGCCAAAGATACACGGAAGGGGGAAGCTAGTACTATAGGTTTGCCTTTTAAGGGCAGAGGAGGCACTGCCTTCCCCTTCAGGTGCAGGTTGTCCTCGGCAGCATCCCACTCCTGACCTGCAGCCTTGCTCCACCTGTGTTCCCCTCCTGCTGGATATATGTTGAAATGTGTGCTTGCTTTTTGGTTATTTGTGTGAGGGCCCCCACTTTTGTGTCCCGCAAGCCACAGTGGCTCCAGCTCCTTCTTCTTGCTCTGCCAATCATCCTTGGCTCTTTCAACCTGTGCTGTGTCTTCTGTCCCACCAACAATAATGGACACCAACTGTCTCAGAAGGTAGCTTTCTTTTGCCATCCCCCCTCCGAGTTACCTAGAGTGTCTCTATTTTGATTTTATAACTAAAATTATAAGGGTATATAATATGTTGAAGTGCTAACCTTCATGGAAAAGTCATTTTCTGAATGGGTTGTTTCCCCCTGAATCTCATAGCAAATACACTCTGTGCATGTGCCAAGGCATTCCGTTCAAATTTCATATGAAGTATAGTATCCAAAAAACAGGTCCTAGGCTCGGGAATGAATGAGCAGTGTCTAAAGTATGCTTAGCCAATAATGTTGTAAAACTACATAACTCCAGTGACCTTAAAAGTAACACTAAGATCTTGATTGGTTAGTATATTTTGGAGTTTAAATGCTTAAATGAAAACATTTTTGTAAACAGCAACAAAAGCAGTTGTGTTGTTTTTTCTTGTGACTGTAAGATGGATGTGTATTTCACTGTCTTAGATAAGTGCTGTTGAGTATTCAGTAGAATTGAAACAAGGAGAGATGTTTGGAAGGAGGGGCCCATTCTAGCACCCACTCTTCGAGGACAAGTAAACTGTGGCTAGGAAAGGCAATGGGTGTCATACTGCTAAAGTGTAAACCTTCCCCAACCTTGGCATCTGTGCTAATTTACAAAAGTAATTACATTTTGAAAAAGTTAAGTGGCGTGACATATGTTTAGAGAATTATTCTTTCTGGTTTATTACTTTCTTAGGGGGATTATTTGAGGTTGCTTTTTAGCTGTACCTAATGTAAGTCAATTTGCATACAAATCTTCTGTAACCCAAAACAGGTATTTAACAATTATGGAGTTGCAGCGCACTATGTCCTCATTTTAAAATGACTTTAGCTATTTCTTGCCATTTCCCCTAAATGTAACTTTGGTGCTTAGGGAGGAGGAAAGAAAAGAGGAAGAGTTCAGCTGAAGACTTTTGAAGAAATAACATAAAGTAATGACTTATATTAGTAGGTTGGGATTTAGTGCCACTGCACTGTATATGATGAATACAGTAGTTGCCATGAAACTGAAAGGAATCTTTCTTTCATCCAGATTTCTGACCATTTTTTAAGAAAAGAGAAATTTACAGTGATTTCTAATACTACTACTTCACATTCCACCTACTTGCAGTTTGTTTTTTCATTACACTGTCACCATAAGAAAGGCATACAAGTGGATAAAGCATTTAAGCAAATGAAGTAAGGTAATGTGTGCATAAATTGCTTTCCAATGCACAAAATCATCATCATTATCATGATCGTCATCTTAAAGGAACAATGCATTAAAATACATTTAAATTCCCTTTAGCTACAGTGTTTTCTTATTCTTACTGTTAAAGATAACAGTGGTTTCCCCCTAGATAAAAAAATAACCTTTTAAAAATTATCTTAAATCTTACAAGGATTCAGGATAATATTTATGATAGTTTTATAATATTTATTTATTTATTGTTGTTATTTGTCAAGTTGTTTTGGCTTATAATGATCCTAAAAGTTTTCAAGGTATGCAAAAGGTAAAGGATGGCTTACTATTGACACTGCCCCATGGGTTTTCATGGACAAGTAGGGATTTGAACCCATGTCTCCAAAATCTTAGTCTCACACTCTAAGTACTACCATTATTTGTTTACTGCTTATGTTTATATTCTGCTCTTTCCCCCAGGAGTTCAAGATAGCATACATGGCTCCCCCCCTGTTCATTTTATCCTCACAGCAATCCTGAAATGGTGTTCAGGTTGACACAGAGTTTCATACCTCACTTTGAACATAGATCCTTCCAGACTCTATTCAGCACTCAGGGTGTGATATGTGGCTTATTGTTTGGTGTACTTCTGGTGCACTTTGGTTTGCCCTATTTTCTGGCAACTGTGCATGTTTTACATAAAAGACATTCATCCCACCCCTTTTGCCAGCTGTTCTGCTCCTTTCTAGCACGGTGCTAGGATTGCAGCTTATTTGGTGTGATTGGGAGTGGTCCTGGTTATCCCTTGTTCTGCTCCTTTCTAGCACAGTGCTAGGATTGCAACTTATCTGGTGTGATTGGGAGTGCTCCTGATTATCCCTTTCTGCAGTCTGTGTGGTTGTTTAATTCACATCCATTCTGCAGTCTGTGTGGTTGCTTAATTCACATCCGAAGAGAGCTGTGGACAGCATTGTCTTTGATGACAATCCTAAAACTTATGCAGTGAGTTGTAACAGTAGAAAGGTAGCAGAGAAATACTCTCCTCTGTTTTCTTCTCACAATTTCTTAAAAAATATTCTCCTATGTAATACAGTGCTATTTCATATATAAGGGAAGTATCCATGCAAGGTTGATGTATTGCTGTAGTGCTATGCCACTTACTAAATTAAACAGTATAAAAAAGGGGAAGTTGCCATGGTACATGGAACAACAGCCACAACAAAAGGCAGGGAAAGGGGTGGGGTATCAATAATTGAAAAGGAGAGAAATTTGAGAGATCTGACATGCTGTCTGGATCTTTCTCACAGAAGAAACCTCCCATGTGAATGGAAGGATCATTCAAGTGTAAGATAAAATAGATCATACTGAAGATAAGAGTATTTCGAATGTGGCCCAGATTACTCCAAATTCTCCCATCTAGTCACACTCTTGGCAACTGCATTATGCTAGCATTCTTCATTAAATGTTTGTGGCCTATGGACAGGAGCTCACATAGTGCTTCCAAGGAAGTGGATGTGAACAGTGGAGTTTATATCTTTAGAATATATAGCAATATATTCCTACAATGTATTCAGAAAATGATTTTTCATAGCAAGGCTATGCATATCTACTTTAGTCTTGATATGTTATGAAGGCCTCCCCCACTCACTTAAGTATGCATAGAACTGCACTCTAAGAAATACAGTAAGTCCTTTTAAAGTCAATGGAGTTTTCCAAAGAAATATAGAATTGCAGCTTTAGCTTTACAACAGTTGTGTGAACTGACATAAGCAATTCAGCTCTGTTTGATTAATGTTTATTCTATCATTTTTCTATTGAAATAACAACCAGGATTGAACAGGACATGAACCTTAGGTTTGTGAATCTGAAAATAATCACTGTATCACAAAGCTCATAACATTTTAATAAATAAATGTCTTTCTGGTATCTTTTTACCATGTTACGGGAATTAGGCCATTCAGCATGTAAAAGACATCTGGCTAAGGCTTGAAACATAATCTTAAACAAAGATATACTTCTAAGACAAACTTAACAGTATCCGTCTTAGGGTGAGCACAGCTGATGAGCATTTTGTAATCTGCTGTCCACTTAACAACAGATTTATGGATTTGTAGGCAGGCAATGAAACTTTGGGGTATTCATTGCAAGTAGCTCAATGAATGCCTAAAAGACATCCATGTGAAACTGAAGGCTCAGACCATAAATATCTCACAGTTGGAACTCTGCTTATGCATGGTAAATTGCATGCTTGAACTGTATTGAAGCACGGCTGAACAAGGAACCTTTTGGATACTGAACCTGAGTTGCCTGTACACCACTGCAGTATTGCTTGTGTGTCCATCATGTCCAATGCATGTCCTGTATGTTTAGAATAGCAGTTCTCTTCGTTCAAGGAATAATGCATTACTAGGGGCAAGGAGGGGTGGGTCAGATCTTTCCCAAAAGGATGTGTGAGTTAAATCTCCCCCCCCCCAAACTAAACTGATTGCTCAAAAAAGTAGCCCCAAACTCTGCTAGCTCTCACATTTTCATTCCTAGTTCCCGCTCTGTCTTTTTCCTTATCTTAAAATAAAGCAGTTGTGATGAGAAAAGCACCAAGGGCATGCTGGGAGAAAGTTCTTTTTTTCCTTCCTCTGTCTTCCTGACCAAGACACAGAATGCTACTGACCACAGGAGATGCTATTTTCCCAAATGCAGCCGCAATCAAAACATCCACCCACCCCTTGGTCCTCTTGCCATATGCCCAAACTGTTGCTTCTGCCATAACCACATGGAAGATAAGAGAAGCAGAAGTTTGTTTTTGTGAGGAATTCATTGGGAGATCATACCAGGTTGTTGCTGTTGTTTAGTCGTTAAGTTGTGTCCGACTCTTCGTGACCCCATGGACCAGAGCACGCCAGGCCCTCCTGTCCTCCACAGCCTCCTGGAGTTTGGTCAAATTCATGTTGGTAGCTTCGATGACACTGTCCAATCATCTTGTCCTCTGTTGTCCCCTTCTCCTCTTGCCTTCACATTTTCCCAACATCAGGTTCTCTTCCAGGGAGTCCTCTCTTCTCATGAGATGGCCAAAGTATTGGAGCCTCAGCTTCAGGATCTGGCCTTCCAGTGAGCACTCAGGGTTGATTTCCTTCAAAATGGATAGGTTTGTTCTCCTTGCAGTTCAGGGGACTCTTAAGAGTCTCCTCTAGCACCACAATTCATAAATAGTAGGGAACCCTATATACAACTGTGGCATCCATCCAGGTCATGAATATTCATATGCTATCTGCATAGACCAATGGGAGTGCTGGAGGGGTGGAGTCATGAGATACAAGAGACTCAGCAGGAGGAGGGAGAGTTTAGATAGGGAGTTTTGAGATTCAGAGATAAGGAGTCAGTGAGTTAGTTGAGGAGATTGAAAGTTTTGGAGCTTGGTCAGGAGAGTGGTGGTTGAGAGTGGATAAAGGAGGATGTTTGTTTAAGAGTTAACAACATTGCTTGTCCTGTTAACATCTGTAGCAATAAACAATTTCTATTTGGTTCTTTTTTAAATGACATATGGCCTGGACATATATCATTAAAAATAGATAATGTTAATGTTAACTGGTGGCAGCTGCAAGACACGTAGCGTGAGCTCTTAGTTTGGTGAAACAAGCAGGGGCCACGTGGGAACGTGACAACAGCATACAAGGAGGCAGTGCAAAGGCCACAAGAGGGTGGGACAACAGCCATAAGAGTTGCCCTCTTGTATGTTGTGGATAAGGCTGCGGTAAACCACAAATAACTGAAACTACAGATAACAATCCCACAGATATGTACACTGATTCTGTACTAGTTACATTGATTGCAAGTGC